CCTCACTGTCGTGCACTGGTAGAAAACCTTAGAACTTTTGCAGAAAGCTGCCCCGTTTCAATTGCATTTCGGGGGTCCGTCCATTTCCAGCACGTTTTGGAGTCCGTCGTACCTGTAGTGCTACAAAACAGGGGTTTTGTGCGTTCAGGTTTAACTTGGTAACTTCCACAGTAACTGCTAGAGTGTCTGTATCCCCCACGTGTTGTGCATAGGGTACGACAGCTTCTGTTAGGTTTTCTCTCCCTCTTTTTAGGCAAAACAAAGTTCAGATTGAGTACTACCGCTGAACGGATGGRTATAAATCATCATTTGAATTCCCAGCCCTCCTGACGTGAGGCTGCTGTGTTACCAGTGYGACCCATTTTTGCCCGTGTCATGTTAAAAGTGACTTTTGAGACTGTGTTGAGTGAAGAGCTGGAGCTAATGGGAAAGCTAAATAAAAGGAAGGAGGATTCGGTGCCCCTTCTACTTTTGKTTTTGTTTTGTTTTTATGTATGTTATTTACTTAGAACTTACTGTAGAAATTACTGAATCTTTTGCACGCCCTCACSTGCGCAGAGGATAGATATGTCAGAAGCCACCCGTTCTAGTGCTCTTAAGGTCACAACTGACTAYCCAAAGCCTGGAATTAGTGCCTAGGTGCACTTTGATTTGAGAGAATTTGGGATGTGGAAGCGCAGCACGAACAGGGCAGGAATGTGTCAGTAGAAGGTCCAGGAGTTTGAACGTTGTGACGAAGGTTTCTCGGATTTTCCCAAACTGTGGAATAATTTGGGCCGATTTCATTTCAAGGTTGCAAGGTGCCCTTACGACTTAAAGTTGTGGTTAGAGAGAGACGTGCTGCACTGACTAACCCCTCAGCAGTGCTCATGCTGCCCGTGGTCAGTTTGGAAGCTTTTTTTTGCGGTGTTTGTACCGTATTAGGTCAGTTTTGGGGGAGGGAAGTGAGTTTTGAGCATCCCATCCTCTTGACATTTTTATTATAAAGCTGTTACAGGAGTTATTTCTGTTCTGTTTGCTAATACTAACCTCCAATTCGGGCTGGTATAGAAATGCTCACTGCACTGACTATATGTATGTACTGACTCGCTGTTTAACTGCACGGCCTTAAAAATCTCTTCTGCCCATTCTGCTTAAAAACAGCTGCATGGGGGCTCTGCAGGTAACTAAGTAGAATGGCATCTGTAGATCTGTAGTGGTGGGGATGCAAGGAAATCATACATCTCTTGATACCCCTGTTTGTGGTTTCTTGGGCTAGCAARAGAGATAACTGCGGCAGAAGATGGTGCAGCGCTTCTGCAGGCATGTAAGTCCTTATCTAATCTGGCCAGGATCACGTAAGTAACTGCTGGGAAAGTGCAGGCCCCGCTCTGTGTGCGTGGAGCGTCACGGACCAAACGTTGCTGCTCCTCAGATGACACTACGGAGCTCGTAACGCTCAACGGCTCCGGCTTTTGGGTTGGGGCACGCTGACGGATTGACCCTCTTGTCTTGGCAGGAAGATGTTCATCGGCGGCCTCAGCTGGGACACCACCAAGAAGGACCTGAAGGACTATTTCTCGAAGTTTGGGGAGGTCGTGGACTGCACTCTGAAGCTGGACCCCATCACCGGGCGCTCGAGGGGCTTCGGTTTCGTCCTCTTCAAAGAATCGGAGAGCGTAGATAAGGTAGCGTCGCTGTAAACGGTCACTGTGCTAAATGCTGGGCAGCAAGTGTTTCAGGCAGCGAGCGTTCCAGGCAGGTGATTGTAGGCACACTTGTTAAAGATGGTTTTGCCTTGCAGCAAATTTATGATGATATTTATTGGAAGAACGTTCCGTCTCTTCAGCCGCGTTACTCGGGACGTGATAGCCAGGACCATCAACAGTTCCCAAAGGGAGGCCTTGGGCGCCTGCAAGGGAGTGTGTAGTAACGTGCTGGGATTTGTGTTCTCAAGTAATTCGGGATATAGATATATTAACTGCCAACTGTTGTGKAAATGGGGTTTACAGAATCAACTGTTGATAGATTTAGGGCTTAATGCAAGYAGGAAAAGAGCTGTTAACCCCTCTCAAATGCTCTTGATAAAAGATGCTAGAGAGCTTTGCCCTCAGTGATCCTTGGTGATACGTAAGCCACAGATAAAGCCCTCCTTCAGTTTTCAGAGGTCTGAGGGGGGGGATTGTGCACAGTGTTAGAAATGTTATGTCCATTTTTCTCTTGCATGACACATGTTCTGGAAAGATTTTGGTAGGACCGCCTACGCAGTCAGGGAGTAGGGATCAAAATGATAGGACTGTTTGGTGTCATGGAACAAATAACAACTTTAGTAGTAGTGTTGAGATTATGTCAGTGAAATACTTAGCTTAACATCCTGGCATTTCCTTTAAAACTTGGCACAGGTCATGGACCAGAAAGAACACAAGCTGAATGGGAAAGTCATTGATCCTAAAAGAGCTAAAGCCATGAAAACAAAGGAACCAGTTAAGAAGATTTTTGTCGGAGGCTTGTCTCCAGATACCCCTGAAGAGAAAATCAGGGAATATTTTGGAGGTTTTGGCGAGGTATGTGACAAAATGGAAATACCTGCTTTGATGTGTAGAACTTGGGCCTTCTTCATCCACTTAGTAATAAGAAAGCCCTCATACCCAACCTGTGCTGAAGCTACCGTRACCTTAATGCCACTGTAGCTCCACATTAGTAAGTGTTTTGGGGAGCAGCGACTTAATCCAAGTTTTGATTTGCATGTGCTGGTAATGCAAACTGGGCTGATGGAAGAAGGAATCGCTGTATGCCAGAACGGATTCATTGGATGCCTGATGGGCTTGACTGCGGGTTTTCTCTGTAGACTTAGACATTATCGTTCAATAAAATGGACCTCCTGGATGCTATATGCAGGAAGATTTTCATCTRTTGTTTTTGGGGTCCAGAGTTTCCATGGCCAAAATCGCTCCTAATGCASAACTGTAGAAGCATTATGGATAAAGAGACTCTTAAAAGTGCTCCAAGTTAAATCTTCTTAATATGAACTTTGAAAATTTACATCTGCTGGAGGTTTGAAGTATCTAAATAGCTCAATGATAATCAAATCTAAACTGAAGGACAAACTGAGAATATTTGTCCAGCTGTGGTTTATGATCCATGTTTTTGGATCTCATCAAGAAAATGATGAGATGATTTTGAGGAAAAAGATTTCTTGCACATCAGGAACGTGGCTTATAGCAATGCTGAGCGTGAAGCTTTATGAAACAAGCCCATAATTATATTCAACTTTCAGTAAGTTCAGTTACATGATTTGAGTTGCTAAAATAACGTGTCAAAACAGTGTGAATGGCAAGGTAATAAATACATAAAATAACTGTCTTCTGCCAGGTTGAATCTATAGAGCTGCCCATGGACAACAAAACTAACAAGAGACGTGGATTCTGCTTCATTACTTTCAAGGAGGAGGAACCAGTGAAGAAAATAATGGAGAAGAAATATCATAATGTTGGCCTTAGTAAAGTAGGTGGAGGTTTTTGTTTGTTTGTTTAGAGGAATCTAACGGTGATAATAGAGCAAGTTACGTGCCCTTTTGCATGTATTTGGGGATAACAATCTGAAAGTGTCTCTAGGCATCATCGCTGTGATGTCAGCCTGCAACTTCTGAAGCTTTGACCGAGGTGCTGGGAGTCTGACTTGCAGGCTCAGAGGGTTTTCAGTGAGATTGAAACAGCCCCTGTAAGAAGAGTGCTGAAAAACTGGGAACTAGCTGTTTTTCACACAGAAAACTGGCATGGCCAGTTCTTATTTTCGTTAGTTTTGTAGGTTGGYTCAGAGTTATTTTGAGGATTGTCCTTGCTGAGCCAATCTGATTTACCGTTGCCTTTCCAGTGTGAAATAAAAGTAGCCATGTCTAAGGAGCAGTACCAGCAGCAGCAGCAGTGGGGAAGCAGAGGAGGCTTTGCCGGAAGAGCTCGAGGCCGAGGTGGAGGTGAGTGTCTCCTTGGATAGCCYGGAAAGGCAGGAGGCTCACGCAAGCAAAACCCAGCTCTCCTGGAGTCCTGAGCTCCGGCAACGTGTGTTGTTGCAGGGCCCAGTCAAAACTGGAACCAGGGCTACAGCAACTACTGGAATCAGGGCTACGGGAACTACGGCTACAACAGCC